AGACCGCCAGGCCGCCGTCAGCCGAGGGGCACCCACCGCCAGCCCTAACCCCGGGTCAGGAGGAGCGCGCGCGGGGTAAGGGAGGACCCGCCGCCGCCAGCCCGCCCGGCCAGATCCGGGGGCTCCGCTGGCGGCAGGGGGGGGGGCACGGGGGAGGAGGGAGGAGAAGAGAGCGGGGGTGAGCCGCCCCCCGGGGAGGCGGCGCGGGCGCGGGGTCGGGGGAGGGAAGGGACGTTACGACGGAGTTACCCTGTTCACCAGCGCTTATTTGTTCGGCCTTCTCGCCGGTAATGGAAATACGTGTGCGCCATGTAAATAGGGACTGTCATGAGCCTTCATTTCATCCTGCTAGGAGTGAAAAATTACTAACGGTTACGTATTATTAATTTTTAGTTTTATTTTGGAATTTGGGGCAATGCAGCGGATCATGACATGACGGCAGCGGTTGTTGGAGGATCGATTGGAGGGGCAGTGGCTTTGGTGGTTGTGGTGTGGTGGATCATATCATTTTTCAAGTGGACAAGGACCACAAGCCATGACTTTTTTTCACGAACTGGAGGAGCCAGACGATTCGAGTATAGTGTTCTGGCTGCTGCAACGGACGACTTCTCTGAGGAGAGGGTTATTGGGCAAGGTGCCTTTGGAGTAGTCTACAGAGGTACAATCTCCAAAGGATCATCATCAGTTCCACCCTCAAGAGAACCAGATGATCCATCCTCCAGCGAATCGAGTGTGTCATCAAACTCAAGCTCGAAGGAATCTACAGACGGCAGCGAGGTGGCTGTAAAGAAGATCTTGAAAGAGACAAGAGGAGGAAATCTAGACTTCTTTGCCGAGATGAACACCATTAGTGAAGCCAAACACAAGAATCTCGTAAAGTTGAAAGGATGGTGCTGCAGGGAAAACAACCGGAACCTGCTCGATTTCATGTGCTGGTGCTGCAAGAAGAAGGAGGATGACGAGCTCTTCCTTGTCTATGAACTGGTGCCTAACGGCAATCTGCACTACCACCTGTGCAAGAGTGATCAAGTAATACCATGGCCAACAAGGTACTACTATATGCAAACATTTTCATTTTAGGTCTGCATATTATTTATTTTTCGGTGGTGCATAATTGATTATATACTGCTATTAATATTCCACGAATTTATTAGTTTGTCTGCCTATCCGCTAGGTACCAAATCGTGAAAGACATTGGCTCGGCTCTTGTTTACCTCCACCATGAGTGTGACCCTTACATTTTGCATAGGGATATCAAACCAGGCAACATACTCCTGGACAACAACTTCAATGCCAAGCTTGCTGACTTCGGTCTGTCGAGGATCGGCAACCAGGATAAGGCGACGTTGATGACAACCGCTCTAGGGACGGAAGGGTATATAGATCCAGAATGTAGGAAAGATGGGAAAGTAAAGTTCTACCCTAGATCAGATGTCTATAGCTTTGGAATTGTCCTACTTGACATTGTATGCACATGGAAGTCAAGGGAGCATGTATGGGAGCTATACAAAGGAGGCAAGGTCATCGAGGCTACAGATGCAAGGTTGCATGGGGATGACTTTGATAGGTGGCAGACACAGATGCAGCGTGTAGCTGTCCTAGGACTCTGGTGTTCTCTTCTTGACGGTGCGAAAAGGCCTACCATTCAGAAAGCAATGGAGTTCCTGGAACGTGATGAGCCATTGCCTAACCTTAACTACACGGTGAACACTTGGCTTCCCTCGCCACATCATGATGCCTACACTAGTCATTGCTCTGACGAGCAAACACTTATGTCAAATCTCAGATGACAGCTAGATCTTCCTGGGAGCTGCATACAAAGATTTTAGGGTGGTTATGTCGACTACATTATATATCCTGCTCTCAACATTTCTTGGTACAACGTAGCACTTGCTTCTTATGCATCTCCCGTTAATAATGTTGCTTCTCTCATCTGCTGCCAAGTCATTATGTATCATGTTGCTGTCTCTGGATCACCATGCATGTTCTGGCTACGTGTGATGTCAAATCTACAATTGAATTGAACTGTCGATGTTTGTTGATCACCATATATGGATGCTTACACATATACCAATTCCTCTATCGTGATTTGTAAGGTTCACACATATTTTAGTAAAAACTTTGATCATTAATTGTCTGAATACAATATTATTATTTATATGTCACAACAAATTATATTATTAGATTCACGTTCAATGTAGTTTCTAGTGGTATTTTATTTGGCATATAACTCATAATTTATTGACTAAATTATGATCAAATTTTCTAAATTCGAGCTAGCCATACAATTCAGGATGGAGGGAGTAATATATAACAGTATCTTACAAATATATACATATTCATTACGTCTCGCAACCAGTCATTGTTTTTGTAAAACACCTATTATCTTTTTGGGGGTGAAAGGGTCTAAATTCATATATTAAGCATCACAAGTCCTTCCAAACACATTTGTGTAGAAAAATAAAACTAGATTCAAATCCTTGGGGTGATGAGGTCTTCTTCCTCCTGCACCCCTCGATGGCGCGCACGAGCATAGCTCAATGCCGTCTCTAGTTTCTTCCTTGGAGGAGCTAACTGTTTTAAACCTAGGAGCTTATAGAAGTAATGGCCGGGAAGTCGCCAATACAAACCAGAAGACACCGGCGGCCGCCATCTAGGAAACAAATCGCCACCCTAGCGAAGAAACATCAATAAGGGCATGTAGAAGCTCCGAAGACCCCCTCTAAAAAACAACTCCGAAGACCATGAAAGTCTGTTGAATCCAAACGGATCCACCAGAAACCTAAATCGATTAGATCCCGAAAGACCCGGGAGAGATATGACTCCACACGATCCGCGCCTTGGATAAAAAACACCAACTAAATGGAAAAGAGAAGTGATTATTCCTACACTAGAACAACACTGTTGCCTTGCCGTCCCAAACAAAATTCGAAGACTCACTAAAGAAAATCTGGAAAAAAAACACCCATGTCGTGGCACAACAGGTCTGGGTCCGATGTCGAGCTCGCTGCCGTCTAGGACCATGCACTAACTCCCTCTTCCGCGGTGACCTAGCCAGGTCAAGCCTCTGTTGAAGATCGCTGTGATGGATCACCAACGCCTCCATCAAGCATCGCCTAACGAAGACCGTCACTCAAGAACACATCTCCTTCACCATCTCGAGACAACGCTCCAACTCCTCCACAAGCAGGCCGCCCGCAATCAGAACCTTCCCCCTCCCCAAGGCCGTAAGATCTTTTCTCCGTGATGCGCCCTCACAGCAGCGAGATGGGGGAGTAGATGGGGAAATAGCTAGGGTTTCGGTCGCCTCCTGGTCTTCTCTTCACGAAATATTATGTCTCCATAGACCAAGTTGTAGAATAGTAGCTTCTTTTTGATTGGTTGGAGGTAGTTATCTCGTTTCTGTGGCATTATTCATCCATAGTTTCTTATGATAGCTACTTGTGTAATTTGCGACAACTGTATAGTACTTTACATTTTATTTGATAATAACAACAACCGTGCACTATCTTTGTTTGGTCAGTTCCCTTGAAATAGCGGCATCTTTCCCTGGGTATACTAGGTACTATGGTGCTAGAAGAGAGCACATCCTTCCTCACGGGTATAGTCGTGCGTGTGCAGTTTGTAACTCCTTCAAAATTCAAAGATACTAGGTACTACGAAATGGTCAGTACCATTGATACAAAAAGGCCATACACATTGCCGGTGGATGCAGGACAAAGAAGACTTCAACACCCTCAAGTATTTGAATGTATTTTTTAAAATTTATGTAAGAGCCTGGTCCCTCTCTCTCCCGTGTCGCCCCCCGCGGCGACCCGGGGGCTCAACCCTAGCCGCCGGAACCCGCCCTCTCTTCTCCTGCCCTTCCCCCCGCCGCCGCCGGCAGGCGGCGCCGGGCTAAGCCCGCGTGGCTCTGGCGGCGGCGGGGCCTGTCTCTCCCCTTTGCTCGGTCTGGCGGCGCGGGGGCGGCGAGATCCGGCGGAGGCCCGGTCGGCGTGGCGCGCGGCGGCCGTGGGGCGGAGTGGTGGTGGATCTGGTGGGTGCGGTGGCTCGCGTGCCGCCTGGGGGCTCCTCCCCTCTCCGCAGTCGTGTGGGGGTGGGCGCGCGGGCCACGCGTGGCGGGCGCGGATCTGAGGCGGCGGCCTCTTTCGGTGAGCGCGCCTCCCTTCCGGCGGCGGGTGGTTGGCGCGGATGCTGCGGGGCGCCTTCTTTGGCTGCTCGGGCAGCAAGGTGGCGGCGAACGTGGGGCTCGAGGCTGGGGTTTCCCCGCTGGCCCCGTGCTTCGAGCTGAAGACGGCGTCCTCCTCTGCTCCTAGGTGCACCTCGTCCTGCTAGCCTGTTGTTGGGTGGGACGATGGGGGCGTGGGTTCTGGATCGGGGGAAGCTCCTGGCCGGCGTCGGCGGCCACGATGTCGGCAATGCTCCGGGCATTGCTACCCTTCCTGAAGGCGACATCGTGATCCTCTCCCTCGCCCTCCACCTCCGTGACCCGGGTGAAAGCCCAAAATCTCCTGGTTTGGGCGGCGGCGGCGTTCCAGCACCGTCTTCTTCCTGAAGACGCCGCCTTGGGTCGGTGGAGGTGGTGGTGTGAGCTTCTGAGCATGTGGGTCGTCGATTATCTTCAGTGGTGTCCTCGTTCGATGGCTTGCAGCAGGCTCCATACTCTTTGTCGGAGATGATGTGATGTTGGAGGGATTGCTCTGCTTGATGGGGTCGCCGTACTTGTCGTCCTTCCCGGCCATCGTCTGGACCGGCTATGCATGCTCAGGGGTGAGCAGCTCTGCCTACCGACGGCGTGGCGTCCTACGGCCCAGGACGAGAGGGCAGGGGGCCTTCTTTGGAGGCGGAGGCGGATGGCGGTTCTGCAGTGATGGTGCACGGAAGGTGACAGTGTGGTCGTCCTCCGACGGTGACTAGTCTCCTTGGCTTCACCTTATCAATGGCAGGATGTGGAGCTTGCTGAGGGCTTCGATGCTCAAGCCTTTGCTTGGTGCATTTGAATCCCGTTAGTGGTTCTGTAGCATTGTGTATCTTTGCCGTTTTTCCTTTTCCTTTTCTTTGTTGTTTGCTCGGATGTATTGTGGTGGTGATTGCTTTATAATATAAAGCGGGGGAAACCCTTTTTCGGTAAAATTTATGTAAGAGTGTTTTTTAAGGGCATAATCCGTTGATCTTGATTTTTCGACATCACCATTGTTCTCTTGTTGCTACATGAAACAATGCAAACGAGCGATGCAATTTGGGTCTGGGGCTCCTTGAGCTCGAAATTTCCAAAAATCCATATTTTCAATTTTCAATTTTTTTAAAAAATATGAAAATAAATACACAATGTTTATAAAACCCTTGGTAGATCCGTCCTGCAGTACGCTGATGATACAATCATCTTTATGGAGCACGACTTGGCAAAAGAGAGAAATATGAAGTTGGTGTTATGCTTATTTGAACAATTGACCAGTTTGAAGATTAACTTTCATAAAAGCGAGTTGCTCTGTTTTGGTAGAGCCAATGAGGAACAAGAGGCTTATAAGCAATTGTTTGGATGAGAATTGGGAGCATTACCTTTTACGTACCTAGGTATACCCATTCACCATCGTAAGCTGGCAAACAGAGAATGGAAGTGCACCGAGAATCGGTTTGAGAAGAAACTGAGTTGCTGGAAGGGCAAACTCATGTCCTATAGAGGCCGATTGATTCTTATTAATTTGGTGCTCACGAGTATGCCTATGTTTCTTTTAGCATTCTTTGAAGTCCCAGTTGGGGTTAGGAAAAGGCTGGACTTCTATCGATCCCGATTCTTCTGGCAGAGTGATGAACTAAAGAGAAAATACCGACTCGCCAAATGGGATATCATCGGTCGACCAAAGGACCAGGGGGGCCTTGGTATTGAGAATCTTGAAGTCAAGAACAGATGCCTTCTCAGGAAATGGCTCTATAAGTTATCAGTTGAGACGGAGGCAACTTGGGCGCAGATTCTTCATAGCAAGTATCTGCAATCTAAGACTTTGTCACAGGCGACAGTGAGACCGACTGACTCGCCGTTTTGGAAGGGGCTCATGAGAGTCAAAGCTGCTTTCTTTAATAGAACAAAGTTTATTGTCGGTAATGGTAACACCACTCGCTTCTGGGAGGACACTTGGCTTGGTGAAACGCCGTTGGCACTTCAGTATCCGTCCCTGTATCGTATCGTTCAGCGACGTGATGCTCTGGTTGCAACGATCCTGCAGTCCATTCCCCTTAATATTCAGTTTAGGAGGGTGCTCATTGGCCACCGGTGGGAAGCATGGCTTGATTTGGTGAGTAGACTGATGGAGGTTCAGCTAGCTCATCAGCCCGATCAATTGTGTTGGAAGCTTACTAGGTCTGGAGATTTCACAGTCAAGTGGATGTATATCGATGTCATCAACTCTAGTGTTATTCCTAGTTCCAAACATGTTTGAAAAGTCAAGGTTCCTTTAAAAATTAAAGTGTTTATGTGGTTTGTACATAAACAAGTTATTTTAACAAAGGATAATTTGGTTAAGCGCAACTGGACAGGATCTACTAAGTGTAGTTTCTGTGATCGGGACAAAACTATCAAGCACCTTTTCTTTGATTTCCGTTGGCGAGAGTGTTGTGGCACACGGTGCAAATTGCCTTTAACATTACTCCTCCGAATTCGGTTAGTTCGTTATCTGGAAGGTGGCTTGTTGGGATAGAGTCCGAAACAGCTAGACACATTCGCGTAGGAGTTTGTGCGTTGTTATGGGTAATTTGGAACTGCAGAAATGATTTGGCTTTTAACAGAACAACA